TTTTTTTTTTTTTCCAAACGATAAACACGTTCAAAATTATTTAAACTTCACGCTTTATTCATTGAACCCGTCACATCCAAAAACTTGAAACTTAAATAATTTAAACACAACTCAATTCCATATACCTTCCCTGTTTTGTGTGAGAAATTGGGGGAAATGGAAAGCCCATATGAATCTCAAGTGGGGTTCCATCCCAAAACTAATTGGTGGAAGGAGGAGTAGACCATTAGTCTTATAAGGTGGGTCTATTTTCCATATATGAACAATGTGGGACAACTCACAAGTGATATTCTAACACGCCCCCTCACTTGTGAATCCTGATATCATGTCTCTAACCCAGGCACAAAGTGGGCTCTGATATCATGTCTCTAACCCAGACACAAAGTTGGTCGGGAAAAGGAAAACCCATATGAAGCCCAAGTGAGGTTCCATCCCAAAACCAATTGGTGGAAGGAGGAGTAGCCCATTAGTCTTATAAGGTGGGTCTATTTTCCATATATGAACAATGTGGGACAACTCACAAGTGATATTCTAACATTTTGAAAAACACAAACACAAATTTTGTGCACTATACTATAAGCTCGCATTTATAGATGATGAAGAAAACTACATTCAATTTTCATTTATCCCTCATTTTTCTTTTTGTATTTTGATGCTCGTCATTAGCTTACGTTGATAACGATCACGATGTTTTTCTCGAGTGCCTTGAAAATTTCCACGACTCGATTTCCAGCGTGACTTACACTCGAAACAACTCATCCTACTTGTCCATTCTCCGATTTTCCATCCAAAATCTTAGATTCACTTCGCGCTCCACACCACAACAACGTGTGATCATAACCCCCGAGCACGAGTCCCAAGTCCCGCCCGTCATCCGTTGCGCCAAGAAAGAAGGCATCGAGATCCGAACCCGAAGCGCGGGCGTATCTCAAAACCCTAATTTCGTAATCCTCGACTTAATCAACCTTAGTGAAGTAACCGTCAATCTCGAGAAAAAAACCGCGTGGGTCCAATCGGGCTCGACCCTCGGCTCCTTATACTAGAAAATGGCCGAACGAAGCTCGACCCTCGGTTTTCCCGCTGGCATTTGCCCGAGTGTCGGCGTCGGCGGGCATTTCAGCGGAGGCGGCTACGGCAACATGATACGAAAACACGGCTTGGCGGCCGACAACGTAATCGACGCAAGAATAGTGGATGCGAATGGTCGAATTCTCGACCGACGCTCGATGGGCGAGGATCTTTTTTGGGCCATTCGTGGTGGCGGGGGCGCGAGTTTTGGTGTGATCCTCGCGTGGAAAGTACGCCTCGTGGAGGTCCCCGAACGAGTCACCGTCTTCACGATCGGGCGAACTCTTGAGAAGAACGTGACTCGGCTCGTGCAACGATGGCAGAGCGTCGCCAATGCAATCGACCGAGATTTGTTCATCCGAGTATTTATCGAAAGGGATCAATCGGGTCGGAATTTCACGATCCGCGCTTGGTTCAATTCGATTTTCTTCGGAGGCACCGAGAGGTTGATTTCGATGATGCAAGAAAAATTCTCCGAGCTAGGGTTGACGAGGGAAGATTGCACCGAGATGAGCTGGATCGAGTCTGTGCTTTACTTCGCGGGCATTCCGATAGAATCGCGCGAGGCTCTACTCGATCGGGCTCAACCCAAAGTAAGATACTTCAAGGGAAAATCGGACTACGTTCAGAGGCCTGTCCTGATACAGGGGATCGAGGGCCTTTTGAGACTATTTTACGAGCCCGAAGGGGAGAAGGCAAGCATCATCGTGGTGCCGTACGCTGGGGCGATGGACGAGTTTTCCGAGTCGTGGACTCCGTTTCCGCATAGGGTCGGGAATTTGTACAGTCTACATTACGCCGTGTATTGGGGAGAACACGACACGGAAAATGCAGGTCGGTACATCGACTGGATCACGAGGCTTTACGATTATATGGCTCCATACGTTTCGAGCTCGCCAAGAAGGGCGTACGTTAACTATAGAGATCTCGACATAGGAAAAAATGGAGGAAAATTGAGCCATGTGTCAGAAAAAGATAAAATAAAAGGGGCGGTGCCGCCCCACATGCACCGCCCCATTGCCAAGTATTAAAAAAAAAAAAAAAAAAAAAAAAANNNAAAAAAAAAAAAAAAAAAAAAAATTAAAATATTGCAAATTGAATTGCAATTGTCAGATTTGATTCCTTCATTCGCCTATAAATAGGCATACTCGGCAGAAGGAGAAAAAACACCAACGAAGAAGAGAAAAATAGAGAAAAGAAAGAGAAAGGAAAGAAAAGATAGATTTATGTCCAAATATCGGATATAAAAATATCAAAAGAGAGAAATAAGTTATAATTTTTATTTGTTTTAAGACATCCCTTTTATTTTTAAGTGCTCAATTCTCGATTCCGTTCTCGTTCGCCGGAGCTCGTAAATCTGGTGTGCTACAGATTTAGAGACGTTTGCCGTTGTATCTTTGGGGAAGTTACGCCTGAACCGTTAGCTGCCACACGGGGCGTATTCTTCTTGCGGAAAGAGTTTTACTCGCCTCGGCTAAAATCTTTCCGTTTTTTCAGTTGTAATTTATTTTTTCAGTTCAATTGTAATTTTCTATTTTAGATTATTTGTAAGAACTGAAAATTACATATCAGTTCGTAGGATTCCCGTGTAATTTTGACACCAAATTTCTAACAATCGCAAGAAGATTAATCTCAGTCATCCTACTGAACTGATGGCATCCACCGGAGCAGGTTCCAGCTCTCAGCATCCGATCAATCATGTACCGGCCGTCCATGTTCCTACAGCTGAAAAGCCCGAAAAATTCAACGGGCTTGACTTTAAGAGGTGGCAACAAAAGATGCATTTTTACCAGACCACTCTGGGTTTGGTGAAATACCTGAAGGACGACCCTCCGGTCATTTCTGAGAATGAGAATGCAGAACTACGCGCTGCGTACGATGCTTGGGGGCAAGGTGACTACCTTTGCCGTAACTATGTCCTGAACGGGCTTAGTAATGAGTTGTACAATGTGTACAGCTCTGT